AGGTGATTTCGAATCGAATGAGCTATCGCTTATATTTTTAGGACCTTCATCTCAATTTTTCATGTTTTTGAACTTGTTGATTAGACTAACAGGGAATTTTGAGATTCGTTAATTTTTAGAAAATTTATTATTATTATTTTTTTTTGAAGTGCCTCCAATGCTCCTGTCAAATATCCCAACGGAAGGTTTCAAGCGAAATGATATATTTGCCAAATTTCATAGTTTTTGACAAGGAATGTTGAAACTTTCAAATATGTCTCAGAATTTAAAAAAAAATCATAAGGAAGACAGTTGCTTCATGAGTTCCATACATCAAATAGACAGGATGTTCACGACATTATAACATATATAAAAATTTGGTTCAAACTATACGTGAAATTTTAATGTCTACAAATGAAGCGAAGAAGAATAAAAACTATCAATTTTGTAGACCATGATTATTTCTACCTCGCAATGTTAAATTGGTTTTTTGAAATTTCCAAGAGACACTTCAATATCCTATTTCAAATTTTATGAATATTTGTAAAAAAACTTCCAAAGATAGATTTGAAATGTTGATTTCTTCTTCCAGATAAATTTCAGGTTTGAATTTGTGAATTGAGATCATTTCTCGATTGAAAATCACCCATTTCATATGAAACAAAAAATGAAGTGAATCTAAATATCTGAAGTTTTATGTGTGTGTGATATTTCAAATAATATTCAGTATATCATTTATCATCACTGACATCTTTTTATCATAACAATTTCCACCTGGAAGTCTCAAGTTACTGATAAAAATGAAGTTTCAATGCTCTTAAATATATTTCAAAGTAAGTATTGATACGTACCTGTCGAAGACCAAACGTAAGCTGCAAGTTACTGATAAAAATGAAGTTTCAATGCTGTTAAATATATTTCAAAGTAAGTATTGATACGTACCTGTCGAAGACCAAACGTAAGCTGCAAAAAAATGATTTCAATCAGTAAACACTTTTTTTGAAAACTTCACGTTCAATGAAAATATTCGGAACTATATATGATGGTTCAGAATTTTTCAAACAATTCATTCTAATTTCTATTGGAAAAAATAGTGTTTCCAACTGATAATTCATAAATTCATATATAAACTGTCTAAAGCGATATGGAATTTAATTTTTTTTTAATTTTTGTTGAAAATGGACTAAATGATCATATAGAGGGGATGACGTAGTGTATATTGTGACTTTTGATACTTTAAAGTATTTTCAGAGTATGGGATAAAATGAGATTTTTTTTCCTCAGAAATTTCCAGTATTATTACAATGTCGTGATTTATAAGTTAACTTTCATGCAGTGTTGTTGATATTTGAGAAATGAAAATGTTTCTTGAGTAATTGGATATAAAATGTTGTTTTGAAAGTAGTTCTGGTTTTGAGAAAAGACCTTAGCATTCTATTTATATTTCATTAGATAAAATATAAGAAATTTCCGAAAAAATTAGGAAAGAAACAAATACAGCTATTGAATTTCACTTTTTGTCATTCAGTTCATGACCCAAGTAATGTAACTGACACACGAAGTTCACTGTTACAAATGAACAACCCGATTTTACTAGACATTCTTCATCAAAAAAAAATTGTTAAGTTTTTCTTCTGTTAGCAAAAACTGAAATATACTTACAGCAATCTACATTATAGTAATAGTCGCAAACGTGGAGTTTGATGTTCCAAAAAAGATCATCGGGACAGTCTTGCAGAACTTTTTTTCCATCTGTGCATTCGTAGAATTTGGAGCAATCATAGTAGTAAGGAAGGTAGGTAGATTGTGATTGGTTACCAGGTGGTGGACAATCAGGATCTAAGGTGCTGACTTCATAGTTGACAGTAGATCCGCCATTCTCGGGCAATGGGCTCGAAAGGGCTGAAAAAAATTTGAAGGGGATTCGTCAATACATATTTCATCGTAGAGAAAACATTATTTGACAATGTTTCTTCATACGCGTTTCGCGAACCACGTTGGCACCATCAGGAGATGATGAAGACTGAATAACACATAATAATATTATGTTCGTGATCATATTTTAGTTCCTAGTTAATGCAATCGATGACATAGAAAACAAAACAGATGTTCAAGACACATTTGCTGAGAAACAGGGAAGAACATATCGATTTTCAACTTGAGGGGCCATCTTCCTATTTATTACAAATGGGTGAATTACTATATAGGTGTAACATATTATAAATGAGTTAATTTTTTAAGGAATTCATACAGGTACGGCAGTTTACTCTGTATATTACTGACTATCTGTATCTGATATTTACTCCGTTTGATTTTGTTTTACTTTGTTGTTGTTAGATAGATAGATAGATGAATATACTTTATTGTCCAAGAATAAATTCTCATTGACAAAGTGTGATGAAAAAGGTAAATATATTTATATATAAAATTATAAATGAGTGAAACAGCAAACTGAAAAGTATGTAAAACATATTTGTCAAAAAAACAAACCTTGCATGTTCATTATGAATGCAATTGTATCACAATTTAATTCACACGTACGAGTACACATTTTAATGTGAAATAAAACAAGAACAAGAATAATGATGAAAACGTGATCGTTAATACATAATATTGTTAAGCTTATCTTGGTGGAACACTGAGAATATTTACAATTTGTCATCATAATATTCCTGCAGGCTTTCAAGAGCACTATATTTTTCACCGACTCACTGACACGTCTCTGCCCTATTATATCCCTAACTACCTGTGGTAAATGGTTGAACATTTTTTCCCTTCGTACATGTTAGAGTGTTTTGTTAGAGTCAATCTGGGTATTGGCAGATGAATATTATTACTACTGTTCTGTCTTGTGTTGTGAATTCAATGTTATATCTTTTATGAATCAGGCAAACAACTTCGAGAATGAAGATGCTAAATAGAGGGAGAATTCGGTATTTGAAGAAAAGTTGTCTACAACTATCCTTATGATTTGCCCCACATAAAAACCGCAAAGATCTCTTTTGCAACACGAAGACCTGATTCAATAGTTGTTTACTACAGAATCCCAAAAATGCAATGCCATACTTTAGATGAGACTTTACTAGGGCAAAGTAAGTCGATCTAGCAGTGAATATATCAAGTTCATTGTAGATAATTCTGCCAGCAAATGATCCTGAAGGCAATTTTGTGCATAAAGATGTGATATGTTTTTTAAATTTCAACTCATTGTCAATATGCAGACCAAGAAATTCAGTACAAGTCGTTTCTTCTATCTTCCTACCATCTAATAGCAAGTTGTCATAGCTAAATTTGATTGTCACAATTTTGGTCTGGTCTACGTTGGTTGAAGAAGAGTAAATTAGAATCACACCACTGTTTGACTTTTTCTAAATGTAATATCATTTGCTTTGAATTTTTAGTGTATTTTTCATGCCATAACAATGTGGTATCATCGTCAAAAATTGTGAATGACCCTTCAATATCGACTGTAGCAAGATCTTTGATGTATAATAGGAATAAAATGGGCCCTAGAACAGATCTATGAGGCACCCCGCAATCTATAGCCGAAATGTCCGAATACACATCATTGACTTTCGTCTGCTGTGATCTACCTTTTAGGTACGATTAACATTCAAGCATATTTTTTCCAAAAATGAGAAGATTGCATCATTAGTGTCTTTAGAGCTTTGGAGACCGGATTGACATTCATTCAATATTTTTCCATTTGATAAAAATTTCAACAATCTTTTCTTTACTAGCTTTTCGATTTATTTCGAGATAGTTGAATAGTATATTGAAAAATACTTACCAATATCGACTGCCCCAATCACAAAAGCGGCAAAGATGATATCTGTAAAAAATTCGAATAAGCAAACTTTGATCTCGCTTCTTCTTTTCCTACTCACATTTCATGTTTCTAGATTGCTCTCACTGCATACAATTGAAAACTGTTAAATATTGCGATTTGCGCTCATATATATATATTCATTTGAAAAAAAATAGAATGTTATCATACTTCGAGTGATCCTTTATCTCTCATATGATACTTGATCGTGGGAATGAAAATCTATCTCTAGATGGATTTAGAACTCGCCATATGGAATTTTTTTGATCCATGAATCATATGTACACGCACATGCAGTTTTATAGTAAAAAATCTTGAGGAAGTTAATAAAAACAGAACAACAGTACGGATTCAGGTAGGAAAAGTCGACAAAGAATGCTATCTCTGACTCTGACATCAGAAATTTACAAATCTCTGGATTTATCAAAACCTGCATTATGTATCTTTGTTCACCTATCGAAAGCGTTCGATAATGTTTGCCTCCTCGGGAAATTAGAAAACATCGGCATACGGGGCAGAGCATATGAACTGTTCTATTCCTACCTGAATATTCGAAGACAAACAGTTGGCATTGATGGAAAAAAAGTAGTCCAATTACGATTACTTTCAGAGTTCCGCAAGGTACGGTCTTGGATCCATACTATTCATACTCTTCATTATCTATATAAATAGTTCATTAAAAAACATTCTCAGTTTTGCTGAAGACACAGCAATCTTTTATAATGCAGAGACATGGCAAGACATCAAAATGAAATCAGAAAGAGATTTCAAAAACATCATGAAACGGTTTAAATATAACAAATTGACCTTGAACGTGAAAAAACAAAATATCTACCATTCACCTCTTCTGCCAACAAACTACAGGACATAGGTCCATTAATTATCAATTAAATTTATTGATTTTCATTTTTTTTTCACCGAAGTGTGCGCTGGTCAGGCCCTATCCCCCGAAGCCCCGATACATTCGGGAGGGCGCGCCAGCATAATCAACTAATGACCACTCCCCACACCATGGGGTAAGTGATCATTAGGTCCTGAGCAAGCACAGTGAGCCACGAATGACAGCCTTCTGCATATGTGCGGCATCTGTGCGGCATCTGCATCTGTGCATGTGTGATTCCTAACACGGGTTGGACGGTAGCAAGTGAAGATCGATCGTTCAGACTAGGGCTTGAACCACCGACCAACACGGCAGTCAATTCGAGTGAGTGAACAAAGCACCCACGCCGAACCGCTTGGCTACCGACTGACCAATGTTTTTGTTCAAGTTGCTTCAAACTTAAACAACTAGTTATTTATGTAGTTCATCAAACAGGTATTCTGACATACATATATGGTCAATTTGAGAATTAAGCCATTCAACATGTATAAATGTATTTTTATGCATAATGAAAGATTATGTTTTTTTTATTTATTATTCTGGCATCGACTGCTGAGGTCATTAGCCACGATATTGTTATTATAGTGGGTGGTGGCTTTTCCAAATCCAATAATTCCCCAGGTTTGAAATTCTTCAGAACATCAATTGAAACGATGAAGGTAACAAATCCAGCAGATTCAATCTGACTGGTGATATAACCACTTCAGCCAGAAGCCATCTACAATCAGCAATTATCATTCTCAATTTTATTTTTATCAAGCCATTTGAATTGAATGGAACATCTTTCAAATTCTTTGAAATCACAAATAGAAACCCTTGTTCTACACTTCATCTAATCGATTGATACTCATTTTTCTAGGTCATCCTTTTCGCAACGGAAAACGCTTTAGATAAATTCGCTGGAAAGATGATGTCTACAATGTTATGAGAGGCACGGTGAACTATATTTCGATTGAAGAACAGAAAAAAATATCACAATATTCACAAATTTTGTTATAGTTCGTGCACATTACATAGATTGGTACCTTAAGCATAAGGTTAATTTGCGCCCGTTTACACATTGAAGTGCAGCTTTTTCGAGATGTTTGCCGGGGTACATATATGTTGATGTAAGATAATAATTCACAGAAATCAATTTTATCGTCCAAAATATTGTACAAAAATATTAAGGAAGTCTGCGCCCTGCGTTTTTCTAAGGATATAAAGTCAAATCTTTGTAATAAAGAAACATAATTTTGGCCTCTAGTTGGGTATACTCCATCAATTTTAAAGCTCAAAAATTTCAGATTTTTTTTTGTGCCTTCTCCACGATAGAAATATATTGTCCATATATGGGATGCCATATTAGAGATCCATATTCTAGTTTTGATCGAACAAAACAGAAATACATTTTTGTTAGAGCAGGCAAATTTGTGAAATTTCTACAATTTCTTACAATAAATCCGTAGGCACGATATGCTGCGTTTACTGTACGACTAAGGTGTATGTTAAAGGTGAGCTGCGCATCAAAATAAATTCCCAGATCTTTCATCTCGTCGGTACGCTGCAGTTCTACATCATCTATTGAGTACCCATAGTGAAGACTATGACTTTTCCTAGTAAATTTCATTGCTTTACATTTGGATATTCACTGGGAGTTTATTTTTGATACAAAACCTATGAAAAATATTCAACTGGATCAGCAAATAACTGCAATCATTAAAACAAGTGACATGAGCCTCTTGCATTCGAAAGATGTACACAGGTCATTTATGTACAGCAAGAATCACAGTGGGCCTAAATTAGATCCCTGTGGTACACTTCCGATTTGTAACCATTGTATTGAACAAACTGTTTACGGTGGACTGAATGTGGTTCCATGAGTGCTATATACATTTTGGGAAAACCTGCGTTCGAGAGCTTGTGTAATAAAAGTGTGTGATTTATTCTGTCGGAAGCTTTCGAGAAATCTGTATACACCACATCCACCTGACCCCTATTATCTAGTGTGTCTGAGAAAAAAAAGGAACACAACCTATTTACCGATCTAGTCGGTGTCATAGGCGGGTTAGAAAGGTTTTAAATATACATAAATTCGCATGTGGAAATGAATAAACTAACCGATTATTAAAAGTATAAATAAATTGTTTAATTTATAACAGAGCAAAATTGTATCGTAACACGGTACGCTGCAGTTCTACATTATCTATTGAGTACGCATAGTGGAGACTATTACTTTTCCTAGTAATTTTCATTGCATTACATTTGGATATTCACTGGGAGTTTATTTTTGATACACAACCTATGAAAAATATTCAACTGGATCAGCAAATAACTGCAATCATTCAAAGAAGTGATGGACGTATATGATTTTCTATCATCGGCAAACATAAGCCTCTTGCATTCGAGAGATATACACAGGTCATTTATGTACAGCAAGAACCACAGTGGGCCTAAATTAGATCCCTGTGGTACACTTCCAATTTGTTTCCATTGTATTGGACAAACTGTTTACGGTGGACTAAATGTGGTTCCATGAGTGCTATATACATTTTGGGAAAACCTACGTTCGAGAGCTTGTGTAATAAAAGTGTGTGATTTATTCTGTTGGAAGCTTTCGAGAAATCTGTATACACCACATCCACCTGACCCCTATTATCTAGTGATTCGCACAGAAATTGACTGAATATCGATAGATTACTAATTGTCGAACGAGAATTCATGAATCCATGTTGATAGACAGAAATTATATGTCTCGTTGACAAGTAAATGCGGTTGTACAAACTTATCTCGAATAATTTGGCTCCAATACTCAAGAGAGATATTGGCCTATCATTATCAATCAGACTTGTGTACAGGACACACCTCAGCCACTTTCCAAATATCGGGAAATACATGTTTTAATAAAGTTTTCAGGGGATGCACTAAGACCCCTATACAGTCTTTGAAATACAAATGAGGGAATGTTATCTGGTCCAGTTGTGGATTTATTTTTTAATTTTGAAGATTTCACGTCCACTTATAGGTTAAGAAGTTATATCTACAGATATATTGTGACTGGGACTAAGATCCACAATCTTTTCGTTGATTTCATTAGATTGGTATGCAGTTTTGAAAAAGTTACTGAACGCATTTAACTATAGTTTCAGGATTATCATGAACTTCTTCCGCATATTTCATGATACTTGGAATTCTAGATGTATTATTTTTCCGATGAACAAATGTCCAAAAAAAGTTTGGGTCAACTCTCAACTGATTCTGAGCATTTTCTAAATAATTTTGATATGATTCTTTTCTTTTTTGTTCAAAATTGAGTCTCAAACGTTTAAATTCCTTTACTTCTAGTTTTTTTGTACTTATTGTGTACTTTGGCCTTTTCTTTGACAATTCGTATGATATCACTCGTATACCATACAGGGTAGGTGTGTCTGAAGTGTTCAAGTGTAGGAACATGATCATCAAGCAGTGTATGCAGTTTATCATAGAAACTTCCGAATATCATCTAAGAAACTCCAATCAGTTAACAAGATGGCGTTATACAGTGATGGAAAATCTGCCTTACTGAAATTATAAGCTCCTTGGTTGTGATTTATGTCCATTTTGTTTTTTGTTTATACACATTTGTTTATGCACGGAGGTTGTCTAATCTCGAGGTCCAAGTCGATGACTTTTTCTAACATTTGTGGCCGTATATCGGCAATAAGGGTGTAGATTAGCGATTGCACATTTTCCCGCAGAAAATAGTCTAGCGGCGTTAAATAGCACGATATTGGGGCCAATTCACGGATTGGAAACGTGAAACTATGCGGTTATTGAACATTTCCTTCAATACATCAATTGTAGCACGAGCTATGTGACATTAATAACACTTCTTATCAAAATGGACACTTTGTACTCGTGATGTTTTGCGTCTTTTTCATGAAAAATCGGTCTGAAGAAAAAGTGATCAAAAGAACCCTAGTTCTTCATATTTGGAAATTTGTTGCATTCCAAATTCATCGTTACTCGTTTTTATCAAGTAATTTGAATTGAATCAAAGTTTTTCAATTATCTGATAATTCTCGGTGCAAAAACATTAATAACACTTCTTATCAAAATGGACACTTTGTACTCGTGATGTTTTGCGTCTTTTTCATGAAAAATCGGTCTGAAGAAAAAGTGATCAAATGTTCTTCATATTTGGAAATTTGTTGCATTCCAAATTCATCGTTACCCGTTTTTATCAAGTAATTTGAATTGAATCAAAGTTTTTCAATTATCTGATAATTCTCGGTGCAAAAACATGTATATCATTTTATCTTATCAATTTGAACTAATTTTTCTAGGTAATTTTCAGAGTATTAAAAGCGGCTGATTTTGATCGATTCGCCGAAAAAATATCTTGAATGATATACGAAGAAAGATTGAAGTGTTTTCAATTTGACGAGGACGCTAAGCTATAATTATAATAATAACAATATTGTTTATTAAATCCTTCAAGATCACAAAATGATATAGCATACGTCACATGGAAAATGAAATACAAACACATATGCACAAACACACATTTACATATATGTGACATACAAACATACAGATAGAATGTTTCACAGAGCATATTCCATTATCAACTCTTATATTATCAGTCCTCATATGTATTCAAATATTCCGCTGTACTGTAAAAGCAACCGTTAATCGAGAACTCTTTCTGTTTGACTTTGAAAATAATAATGTTTTTTTCATTTCTCATATTTACAGGAAGATTATTGAAAAATTTTGCACCTGCGAAAGATGGACACTCTTCAAAAAACGATGTATAGTGTTCTTGAAGCCTTATCAAAATACCATGTCTCGTTGGGAACGAATGAATTTCAGAGTTTCGATGGTGATCCTGTGAATATTTCTTGAATACTAGTATGCACTTGTGAATATATATACAAGGTCCACACATAATTCCATTTTCAACAAAAGTTTTTTTGCAAGACTATCGGCACTCTTATTTGAATATTAGTTGTATAATCCTTTTCTGGGACACAAAAATTCTATAGAGCTTGGAGGAGCAACCCCACACAGCGATATTATATGAGATGTGACAGTATAAAAGGGCAAAATAAACATTTAGGAGCTGTTTTCTGTTGAATACCGATCTCAGTTGTCTAATAGCATAGTCAATCAAACGACAATATGTTGAGCTTTTCTTGAAGTTCTTCGGAGCTATCAGCATCAATTGCTAAAGTTGTATCATCCGCATATAAGACAATACAATTTGTGCTTATATAATTCGGCATATCATTGATATATAGTAAAAAAATTAGTGGTCCCAAAATAGAGCCTTGAGGAACTCCTAGGTCTATGCCATACGATTGAGAGTAACAGTTATCAATTTTAACATGTATTTTCCGTCGAGTATGACCTGAGCCACTGTAGAGAGATACCTCTGAAACCCATTGCATATAGTTTACTGCAAACAATATCGGGGTCTTTGATGTCAAAAGCTTTTGATAGATCAAAGAAAAGAGCACTAACATACTTTCCTTCATCAAGTGAGTCATAAACATACTTAAAAAAAGTATAAAAAGCACTTTCCGTTGAGAATACTAGCCGATCTGAGAATACTAGCATTTTATTATAGATACACCTTTCGACTATTTTACACAGTACTGTTGGTACTGTTACAGGTCTATGGTTCTCAATTATAGTTTCATACAATATATATTTTCAATATTATTCAAGGATCACTAATGGATTCTAGAAATTTCCTTAAAGTGGAACACTGTGGGTAGCAATTCAAAAAATATTATTGTAATGAGAAAACAAACCAAGGAAAATACACGGTGGATAATTCACAAGATATTTTTTAGCAGAGTTGGGGTTACGTTCCATATTCCTGACCCTATTCTGTATTTTGATCATATATAATATATAGGGTTACAACTCTCCGCACCGAAAACCTCATAAGAAGTCCACTTGACTAAGATCGGGTAATCTAACTGGCCACAACACTATTTCGATTTTTCCAAGCACCAATTCGGAGAGGTTCTGGTAACCATTCGCGCAATGTTTACAGCACCAAATCCGTGTGAAACGATATTTTCGAGTCGCAATTCAGAAATATAAGGACTGATAATGGGTGTCTGTAGTGCAGTGGTTGTGTATGTTATACTTGCATCTTGTATGAATTTTATTGAAATCACTGACGGGTATTTTTCCGATCAGCATACCCTCCCGGATAAAACTGTGCCTCATCCGAAAATGAAACCTTGATGACGACAAAATTGTCACTTCTACTCGTCTGATTCATTTTTTCGGGCAGAATTTTATGAACCAGAAATAGTTCTTTACCTCAGTGTGTGTTCTCAACTACCAATAGGATTAGTACTCATTGACATTTCAGTTTCATGAAATGTAATATGATATGTCACATGTGTACATGTCACTATGAATCAATTTTTTTATGAAAGTAAAAGTAATTTTATTTGTTTGAAGGTGTTTGACAATGTTTCATGGTGTTAGGAATCACACGGTAAGAGGTAAGACCTCGAATTTTGAGAGTTGTTGTTCGTAGGGAGGTATGCTGGTTAACGAAAAAATAATGGTTTCAACAGATTTCATTAGTTTGGACTTCCATTGCTACATTGCTACATCGCTCAATCGATCGTGATGAAACTTGATATTCATAGAGAAAATTTTTAGGCTATCAATTTTTCTGTAACCCGCCACTAGATGGGGCTGTAGAACATTTTTTTCGAAAGCACTCTCTTCTATAAGGCTCACACGCCCAAGTTCATTGATTCTGATTATGTCAAAACATTAGAACAGCAGCGTACAGCAACATAGTACTAATTATTACTACTACCAAATTCTACGCGGCTGAAGCCGCGGGCAACAACTAGTATATATATAATATGATTTGAAATTCCTGAAAGCACAAATGAAATTGAATATTGAAATGAACAGTTGAAAGTAGCATTCATATTAAGCAGGAAACCCCTAAATGGAATAACAATGATATGAAAATCAGCAGAAAATTGAACAATTCATATGAAGTAAAAATGAAGATTACAGGATTTCAAGTCAATTAACTTCACGACGTTTCGATTGTTGTTGAAAAAAAAAATATTGATTACGTGGGATATGACCGTTTGGCGAGAGTTTAACGTTTTCTGCTTGATTATGGGTTTCCATATGTTGCGTATCTCACCATTTGGAAACCCATAATTGAGCGGAAACAGTCAACTACCGCCAAACGGTGATCTCAAGCTGAGCCGGTGAAGCGGTAAGAGTTAAGAGGAGATAAGTGAAAGCTCTCGAATGACATACGAATAGTCATCTCTCGTAGAAATAGTCTTGGCTGGAAAACTTTCAATTTTTATTTTTATTTCATTTTTGTACACCCGCTATTCTCTTAAATTTTGTTGATTCTTTCAGGAATTCCAAATCATTTTATATCATATAAGACCATGGAGGTCCAAAAAGTGAAATTCACCACGAAACATTATCAACCACTTTCAAAGTGCAGTAAAATAAGTTAATAATACAAGTGGTATAAAGACATAGGAAGTTTCATTTCTTATTTTTCATATAAGGATTCAATTCGTAGCACATTTGATTTCCTGAGTTGGCTACTCTGTGTGTTTGTCAACAGTGTCACTTGTCATGTCAATTATTCGAACTGATATCGTTATTGGATACGGTCGATTCTCATCGATTTGTGTCGGTTGAAATCGGTTGAGATATGTGCAAATTCATAATTTTTGTGATTCTATCAAGCAATTCACTCGAGAATATAATAGTGATTGAGTACTGAGACTTTAGATCGACAAAAGCATTTGCTCGTGAAACAATTCATCAAAATTATTCATGTTATATGTTGTTTATTACCCAACCAAAGGTAACATTGACAAACAATATCAATGACAATGCTGACTTTGCTGAATCTACATTCGGCAAATACAAGTTTCCAAACAACGGCAAAAAGGAGCTTTGTGCCGTCGTTGAGCATTTGAGAAATTGTTTTTTTTAATATGTCCTGCGTGGTGAAATGAGTTAGTTACGGATTGAACGGATCTAGTGCATCCAATTGCTATGGAATATGAGACAGAAATGCGAGTTTCGTCATATTTTGAACGAAAAAACATGAATTTTCAATTGCCATTTTACTTTCTTTCATACATCAACAAAGTTATGAGTGATATGTGAAGTGGTACACTTGAAACATTTTTCCAGAACTAGCAACGATCAGAAGAGGCAGAGCTGCATTCTCGGGTTGATTTGTCGTAGTAGAGGTCGCGAGGGCAACGGAAGTAGTATTCCTTCTCTTCAACGCATTCAATATATCTGGAGCAGTCGAATGGATCAGAAACAAACTCGCCATCTTCTTTCCCAACACACAATTTTCCTGTGAAACAAATCAAAAAGTTAGTTCTGTCGAAACCTCTGATAGGTAATGTCTTGATACAACAAAGAGTGGAGATTGCGATAAAAAATTCTGGGAAAGTATGGGTTTTTTGATGTCGATTACCGGCGTGGCGACGGGTCGCCATGCGCGGGCGACTGTGTGGTAATCTTCCCACTGGTTCTCTTTCGCACACTGAGCTTGAATATCTATAGTGATATACAGTTGTGTTTACCACGGTATACATAACCTGTGTTTCTTGGAGTGAATGATTTTTCAAAGTAATCGAAAATAACAGTGACAGTGATAATTTAGAAAGTGAAAGTGAGCAGCCTTCCGCAAATAAAGCAAAAACACACTACAACACACTATCAAGTCATCAAGTATCTTTTTGGCTCACAGTTTTTGACAGATCACGCGTGAATCGTGTCTTGTGTCATTGTCAAACTTGTTCAGGTTGCTCTATAATTCAACCTTGAATCGACTTACAAATGAACAATGCTTGCAAATTATTGAATTTTATTATCAAAATTCATGCTCGTTGAAGAAAGTGCATCGTGCACTTCTTTCACTTTATGGGCAGTTTCGTCGGCCTACTGAGGGAACTATTCGAAAGCCTGTGACTAAATATCGAACCCAGTTCACATTATTGGACATTAAATCACCAACATGCATACTTAGAGTGAGGACCGAAAAAATATTGCGGCTGAGTCCGCCAGTGTTCGTGATGACCATGAAATGTCGATTCGCCGCTGTTCGCAGCAAATGGGCCCCTGTTACTCCACTACGTGGAAAATTTCGCGGAAGGATTCAGGTGTAGAACCTTATAAGATACAGCTGGTGCAAGAATTGAAGCCACACGACCTCCCACATCGTCTAACATTTGATGAATGGGCGCTGGCAAAGTTGGAGGAAGATCCAAATTTTTATCGAAAAATTGTGTTCAGCGACGAGGCTTATTTCTGGTTGAATGAATACAGCAGCAAGAAAAATTGCCGTATCTGAAGTGAGTGTCAGCCACAAGCATTGCAAAAGCTACCGATGCATTCCAAAAAAGTCACTGTTTGGTGTGGATTATGGGTCGGTGGCATCATCGGGCCGTACTTCTTCAAAGACGACAATGGCTGGAACGTTACTGTGAATGGCGAGCGCTACCGTGTGATGATTGACGACTTTTTGTTGCCCAAAATGGAAGAATCATACATGATTGACATATGGTTTCAACAAGACAATATTACATGCCACACGGCACGCGAAACTTTGGTCCTATTAAGAGCCACCTTCGTTTGGGGCCCGTCAATTGGCCACCTAGATCGTGTGATTTAACGCCTTTGGATTATTTCTTGTGGGCACGACTGTTGCTCTGGATGCCAATATTGAACCATTAATACGTGAAATACCGGTCGATATGTTAGAGAGAATGTGCTAAAATTGGACCTTGCGCATGGGCCATCTAAAGCGGAGCCACGGACATTTGCATGGAATCATCATGGTCAAGATGCTACAGAATACTTTTTTTAAATTCCTCAACATGTTCATTGATTTTATGACCAATTTGTATAGTTTCTTCAGTTGTTATAGAGTAAATATTCATCATTATTCCTATTATATCATCATCATTATTGTTAGGAGGCCTCCGAAGTCAGTTTCATTCGATTGGTTCAACTACCTTAACGTATCAACTATTTTGCACAATTAAAAATCATCTGATACTCGCCTGGCTCTGGTATTGGAGTTGAAGGCGTCGGTGTCACTGACGAAGGACTCGGTGTCACCGTCGAAGAATTTGAAGGCGTCGATGTCACCGTCGAAGAATTTGAAGGCGTCGGTGTCACCGTTGAAGAATTTGAAGGCGTCGGTGTCACCGTTGAAGAATTTGAAGGCGTCGGTGTCACCGTCGAAGAATTTGAAGGCGTTGTTTCTACTGTCGGAGAATCTGAAGGCGTTGTTTCCACTGTCGGAGAATCTGAAGGCGTTGTTTCCACTGTCGGAGAATCTGAAGGCGTTGTTCTCACTGTCGAAGATGCAGTTGAAGAATTTGGATCGAGCGTAGAAGTTGTTGCTGGATCTGCAGGTTCTGTTGGTGCTGAAGATGATGACTTACTTGTTTTTCCTTCAGGTATTGCAGATACTATTGGAGTTATTGGAAAAACAATTATTGAATAACAACGATGTGAAAATAAGGAAACGACATAACATTCTACAACCTATGGCTATAATTGTATTCAACCCACACATTCACCATCCACATATTATTTCTCCATCAGTATTCTTCGAATTTTACTGGACTTTTTCCCGAAACCAAATCGTTATTTTCAATACCTTCACACGTGTTCAAGACCAGTTTGATCTTCCTCTTGAGGATGATCACTTGGTGATCGAAACACGTGTCGAGGTGTCAAAATAACGGTTTGTTGTTGGGAAAAAAACTTTAATGAATCACAAGTATTTTTCGATTCGTTCTGAAATTTTTCTTCCATATTCTACACATATATTCCCTCGAAAACCAATTATTTCTGAACGTACGGAATCTTTGGAATGTGGTGGAACTGTGAGAAGATTCTACAATCCACTTGTGAATTTTGTTACAAGCAGGAGTTATTTTTCTTCCTATTCCATGAAAAAAATGGATTGTGGAATCCTCAACTTTTTTCGAAGTCACTGGATGAAAGAGAGGCAAAAATACTTCTGTTTGTAACGTATGTAGTTATTTAACTATTGAACATATTGAACATATAATATCACTCACCTACAACTGAAGCCAGGATAATGGTGAAAGCAGTGAAAGTAAGTTCTGTGGGGAAAAAAATCAGAGTTAAAACACTTGTTACATGTATCACTTCCTTACCCACAACTTACTCATACTTTTGAGATGAATACCAAAGCTATTTGAAAATATTTACATTCATTATAAATTTGTTTGCTACCTTCATAATTGGAAGCGAACTGAAAAAATTCACTAACAATACTAATATCACATGGTACTTTATAATTTTCCAGTATGTTACAGAATGAACTTCAAAATTTTTACCAGTAGAAATGCATATAAAATTTAAATCTCATATCAAACAACGTGGTCGACAAAGTAATGTTTCAGAGCAACGGCGTCATGAGTAAGAATTCTTCATTGTATATTTTCAAAGAAGTGATTTCACATGTTCACAAAATATCAAAGTTCAAAATATAAATACGGGGGCTGTTCAAAAAATAAGATGAATGTTTAAATTTCGCGGACTAGCATTTTTTTTGTTGGTAAACCCGGCTAGAACATCGGGTGACGGTTTCAGATGTTTAGCATGTTTAGTTTGTTGGTGAGAGGCAAACGTGTTTGAAGTGTTCTGCGAGGAACGAGATATTTTGAAAATTTATCATTTTTGGAAGGAATGGTATGACAGCGCAAATTCATTTTGAAATATATCCGAAAAAACACCAGCCGGATAGAACATTATTTTGGACAAACACTTGGCTGAGTATGGTACGTTTCAAAAACCAATAATGATACAATAATATTGAATGATTTCTACTATTCTTTTTTTCAATAAACTTTGACAAAAATCAGTCCATAGTAGATCAATCTGTTCGACCGTGAGGTATGACTCTAGAAAAATCAATAGAGAAACGATGTACCTTTACAATATCAATGATAAAATATAAAACACTGGTTATCTATTATTTAGTTTGAATCACTTACTCGTCATTGTTACTTTTCGAGAGACACTTTCACGGTTTTTACAAATCTTCAAATGCGAAAATTACACAATCAGATCATATTTTATAGTGAACAATGGAACAATTATCTTTATCTTCAGTTTTTACTTCAATGAAGACATCAATCGACCCAATATCCTTGAATGTGTTTGTGATATTTCGAATGCACTCAAACTATCAACCATAGATATATTAATCGTTAGTTGAGAAGTGTTTCTTGGTTTCTTCATCGAACTACAGCTTTCCTGAATATTACTGGAGTTTTTTCCGAACACCAAACCGGTATTTCAATACCTCGACACGTGTTTCGATCATCCAAACTTACAAAGTCATCCTTATTTATAACTTTGTAAGTATGTTTATTTTGATATTTCTCTTGAAGATGATCACTTGGTGATCGAAACACATGTTGAGGTGTTAAAATAACGATATGGTTTCAGAGAAAAACTTCAGTAATATTTATTAGTATACCAAAGGTTCGAAACAGTGCATCACGAGTACACCTTTCCTCATACAGATACTGAAATTGAAGGCCTGAACCTAGGTTAGTGGTTATACTTCGACCTTAGATTGTACAAACATGTTAGTGTGATTTGTCATAATTTCCATAATATCTCAGGCGGCAGTACCGAAAAAGAGACATGGTGACATTCAGTTTCAAACTGGAGCTGCGAAGCACTGATATTATCCAGAGTCAGGGCTAGTACTACAGTGTCACCAACATTCAGCCAAAGCATCGATAGATAATAACATTATTCTGAGGTGGGTTGAATGGAACGACAGGAGTAAAAGTAACCGCATTGCCGACTCTTTAGCCAGGGAAGCGCTGGACTGAGAATTTTTATGACCCAGTGGCACCCACGGCCTGATGACTTCGACAATTGCGGAACTAGCCAGATTTTACAACCATGCTCAATTCCAAAAGAGATGGGATGGAATCAAGGATGCAATCTTGCCAGGATCACCTTGGGCGACCCTGGGAAGCTGGCGCCGAAGAAATATCTGGCAATGACCTGAAAAAATTTATGCTTAACAGTAGGATTTCTGACTGGCCACTGTCAACTAAGGAAACACTAGCCCCATAATATGGGGCTAGTGGATACACCTCTTTGCAGGATGTGTGAACAGGAAGATAAGACTGTCAGACATGTTCTATGCGTGTGCCCGGAGTTATCGTCAATGAGAGAGTGTGTGTTCGACGAGTCTTGGCCTACACCTGCCGATATGAAGGAGATGTTTTCCAGTGCCCTGTTCACCTTCCTGGAAAGGACAGGATGGACGATGACCTAGGAGGACAACTCCTCGTGAGGATGTACAATGGGTCACAAGTGCTTAGACTCGCCCTCCGTACTCTACAGATACAGATCCAAAGTCTCTTGCTGTGATATGATCTATGAGTTTGCCGATATACAATTGGACATGTAACGCCTCCAGAAAATTCAGAACAACTATATATGGTTCTCTTATGGTATAAGGAAGTTTGATAACATCTCAGTTGAATTTGAGGAGTTTGTCTGGCTAAGACTGATTTTTGGAAACTTCACCTTCTTGTTACAACTCACAAATTTATCTCTCAAGGGAAACTATTCATCCAAAAGATACGCAACATTTGAAATACAGACTCACTCTTGAACCGGAAATCGTGGTAAATTTTTCATTTCCAAACACTCCGCAGCTTGTTTCACTCGAAGTCGGAGTCGAATATAATTCAGTTGTCCTCTATAATGCACTTTCCAGTGAGCTCAGACGCTACACTTTATATAAACTCGAAAATAAACTAAAACTGCGCTTGAAGTTAGCTGGATAGTTCAACTGTTTTCCAGTCTACTATTTTCTCATTTTTTGTATAACTTCCAAACTCACCGAAAAGTGAAAACCTGAAAACACCTTGAAATTGAAAGGAAACACTTTAAAAACACATTAAAAATATCACCAAAAACCACAGCTATAATACAATACTGCCTGTTTCATACACAAATAACAAATATTATCAAAAAATACTGAAACAATTTACTGAAATACTCTTCAGTCTTGGTCCGTCACGGCATCCCGTCCGAATAATTAGATAAAAAACAAACGCAATCGTACACTAACGAAAACCAATTGGAGGCTAGCCTCCTCTAACGCTCTAATTTCCGCAACTGAAATTACAAATTGGGACGTATGTCTCTTCTTGGTTCGGTCTCGCGGAGCTTGTTATTTTCAAAGCGGTCGGAGGCTTGGCTCGCTTGCAACGTATGTAATTTATTATTTCAGGTTGATGGTTTATTCGTTATTCGTTCATGGGCGGTGCGTTTGACATTTGTTGATGCAGGATACAGTGTATTAAGTACTACGTAGTGAGTGATAGTGTTTTTTCGGGCAATGGGTAATGATAGTCAAGCATTTTCAGAAAAAAAATAATCATAATCATTTGTCGATATCTTTTAATTTATTGTGATGAATAGCCTCAAATTTTATGGGGAAGCTAAGCCTCCCTTGCCTCCTTTGACGAGCCGCAGCTGCTCTCAAGGCATCGTTATGTCGATGGATATAGGCCGAGACCGCATATGCTTTCAAAGATTGAAAGCGTAGGTATTGATGGAATAGTACTGAGCTGGATCATGAATTATCTGAGCAATGGACAGCAAAGGTTGAAACTAGAGGATAAAATGCAAAATAATGTAGGTGTACCCCAAAGGTCTATTTTGGGACCATTGTCATTCCTCATATTCTTAAGTGGCATTGTAACCACAGCAGAAGAATATAGAATTCACTCATTTGCCGACGATACCCTACTGTACTTTATTAGTGAAGATGTACATGAGTGTGTTCATACTATAAACGTCAGTCTTGAAAGGGTGTATAGATATTGCTTCGCAAATCTGCTGAAGGTGAATGTAAATAAAACAAAATGGATGCTATTAGGGAAACATAGAGATCATGATTACGGAAATCTACTTCTACGATTGAATGGCAGTAATATAAAGAAGGTAAACAAATTCTAATCCTTGGAATTCAAGGAACATGTTAATCAAGTCATCAAAACAATAGCTTACAAAATCATATGCTTCATGAAAACATTTTTCCAAATCAATTTAATTTCCAGCGATTCAAATCCAACGTGGTTCGCTACTTTAGCACTGGCACAAGTCTCAGAGCGCCTTGAAGATTTTTCCGTAGTGTTTTCTGTCTCTGATGGAAATATAATTCGACAATATTTGGGGAATGATTCCTACACTTGAGGATTTGAAGACCATGCAATAGATTTCTGTTAAAGTTCTTCTCTCTCTCTCTTCAAGGAGAACGCAATCGATGATTTCTCCGAAATTATCATCTGCAGTTTTTATCTGATAATGGACTTCTTATCACCATCACTTACGGTTTGATATTCGGAGAATGATCCATCCCAAAATCATAATTGTTGAATTTCAAATATATTCGAGACTTTAGTCAAGGTCAACAAAGTATTCAATGTAGTAATAGAAATGTAAAGTAATTGATTTCAATTCATCACTTGAATTTTCGCAATCACAAATAGATTTATCTCTCCTATCATCCGCTTATCTCATATCCGAGAAAATCACCTGATCAACGAAAGAGAGACACGTGTACTGATTAGTTTCTATTCACCCTGATTTATGGGAAACCAATCCTCCAGCACATGAAAATGATTTCATCTAGAAGTTTGTAACTACACTACAAAAAAAATACAAATACACCCAAGATTTTTCCGAGTGATCTCCTAATTTCTCAATCCTAATTTTTCTAAATTTTCTTGATATTTCAAAATTTTGTCAGTTACAGTGAAGAAATTGTAGGTATTGGGTTGTTTTACGAATTTTCCCTTTCAGTGTGATGTGTTTTCGTAACTTCATATCTCAATAAATATTTATTCTACTGTGTCGTGATGGAGAATATTGTACTCTATGCGTTGATGTTGTTGTTCTTTTCCAAATTTAAATTCAGGTGCACCTTTTCAGCCTATTATTATGTGATGTCGCGGAACAATTTCGGACAACAGTTTCTACGAATTCAAATTGAACCAAAACGCTGCCGAAACAGCCCGAAAAATTACCCAGGCATTTGACAATTCATAGTGTTGATGTGAGCATGGTTCGCCGTTAGTTTGCAAAATTCTTTTCAGAGATTTCAGTCTCGAAAATGAGCCCCGACGTGGTCGACATACATTATCAGTATCTGTAGGGTGAGTGTAGGTCTACAGCACTTAGACACATGTACATCCTCCCGAAGAGTTTTCCTCCTAGATCATCATCCATCATCATCCAGGAAGGTGGGCAGGCTCTATCCTTCAATTCCATCCCATCTCTTCAGGGATTGAGCGTGGGTATGACATTTGGCTAGCTAGCTAGCTCCGCAATTGTCGGAGTCATCAGTCAGTAGGTGTCACTAGGTCCTAAAATTAATAGTTCAGCTGTTTCCTTGGCTAAAGAGTCGGCAATGCGATTGACTTTACTCCTGTCATGCCCTTTAACCCACCTCAGGATAGTGTTTTTATCTATCAAGGCTTCGGCTAAATCTTGGTGGAACTTGTCCACTATCAGGGCAGATTGCCAGAAATTCCTTTCCTGGTTATTTCTTTTGTGGCGATTGAGATACCAGCCAGTTCTGTTTGAACCACGCTGATATTTTTTCCCATTTCCCACTCAATACTTAGACTTAGTGATCTATAGTAAACTCCACACCCTGAGCCTTCTTTGGTTTTTGAGCCGTCTGTATATATGCGTATTGCGTTTGTGGCATCTGACTCAGTGTTCTCTTTCATTCGTATTCTGGAGGTTCACAAACCTGGGTTCAATTGCATCACTAGCTGCCTGCAGCAGAGCGCTTCTCGCCACAGGCTCAGCCTCAATTGACCCATTTCTACTGCGAGGTTCACACCAGCCGTGTGCAATCGTAACATGGTCATTATCGCAACCTCCTCAATGTACAGGTCCAGAGAGGTCAGACCAGTAATTAATTCCATTGTCGCGGTTGGTGTTTTCCTCATGGCTCCTGTGATGTTTGAACAAGCCAATGATTGTATTTATTATAATTTTTAGCCGTTACTTGTAGCACTTTTGGTACCCATAGCTCCGTACGTCAACATAGGTATTATTATTGCAGTGTAGATCTCGGGGACCACACGGTGTGAAAGACCCATGTGCCTCCCACCGTCCTGCGACATTGCTCATAAGCCACATATGCTCTTTTTGCCCTACTCTCTAGGTGAGAGTTCTATGTTAGCTTCTTGTCCCGGGTAATACCAAGTTATTTCGAATAACCTAGAAGAACCTGTCGACAAACTAATTGGCTTATAATCACCCTTATCGGTCTGTTCTCCTTTTTCATAAAGTGATTACGCTATTGCCATTGCCATTGAAAACGGATATGCAGAAAGATATAAATTGGCTGAAAAAATCTAAACAAAGGATGATCAAATATATCGAATCGAAATGATATTGAATTTTCGATGGGCCAATGGTTGGGGTCAGAAGGAAGCTGTAAAAGGTGATGGAATGGATGAAATGAATATTTTTTTCCAAACATTTATTGAGACTTCATTTACATCAGCAGAGTTTCCGGGAGGAAGATGGTGACATCCACAATATCTTCAGAACTCAGCAACGGTCGTCAGAGGAAGAGCTGCATTTTCCTGTTGATTTGTCATAGTAGACACCACGTGGGCAATGGAAGTAGTATTCCTTCTCGCCAATACACTCGATGTATCTGGAGCAGTCTTCTGGATAAGGAATGTATTCGCCATCTGTTACTCCTATACATCTTTTCCCTGTGAGAAATGAATGTATATTACGACCTGTTTTATTCAGTATTCATTCGAGGGATTCAAAAAACATCATCACTATCGAAAAACATCACAATTTTGCCGATTGTAAGGTTATAACATAGTTTGAAACACGCTGTAAATATTTCCAAAATATTGTAGAAGCAGCCTTGAAGATTTCGAGGAAAACGAATCTTCTCGTCCATTCATCAAGTCTTGCAAAGAACACGGCGGAAGTCATACAAAATTCCGAAGCCTGTTTGCCAGGTCTATAGGGCTTACCAAAAATCCATAATGAGAAAGTGCCGCTTAGACCTATCGTAAATGCGATAGGTTCACCAGCTTAAGAGCAAGCCAAATACTTGACAACCCCACTGCATCCATTTATAGGAAATGTAGTCATTCATTAGGGACTCTAAAAGAGTAGAGGTATGAAATAAGATACCCCAGTGAGCTTCGACGTGATGTCCTCATAAAGAATATTCCTGACCAATGGCATAATATAGCTAATTACCGACGTATTTACAGCAGATATAACCGCTCTCTTCGCCTACTGTTTATCATCAACTTATTTTCAATGGGATGGTGTTTTTTACGAACAAGCGAATGGTACCGCAATGGGCAGTACACTAAGTCCGGCGGCCATATTGTAGGTTACGTTATGTTGACGGCACGTTCATGGTATGGCAAGGTGGTGAAGGAACACTAAACAATCTTCTATCACATCTGAACTCAATTTCTCTTGCAAGAAAACAGATATTAGCAACCAGGCAATACAGAACAGAGTTTTTTGGAAAGGCGATATTCTTGTGTTGTTTCGCCATCTTCTCACTGGTTAGTACATTTAAAACTTTCCACCTACCAAAATATCACTAGTTAGACTAGTGTCAACCAAAAATGCCCAATTGGAGTCAACTGTTCAAAACGAACCACAAACTTATACTAACCCAACTATATGTTAGCATAAGCTCTACGATGACATCATCAGTGAGGTCGACGGAAACCTTGCTCATTCAATATGAACAAGGATTCTCACGGAGGTCAGTTGTAAAACCAAGGTGTCACTAATATTCAGGTTAAGGAAGGGATGAGTATACACACATCTGTAGTTCAGCAATATCATTTTGAAACAGCATCATGTGATATTGAATATAACAAATACTCCGCTATTGGTCTCTGCCGAGCAACATCAAAGCTTTGCTGTGTAACAATCACTCCTAAAGACCCTTGTTCACTCTTAATAAACATGGTTTGAGTTTCCTGTGGATCTTATAGATGACGTTTTCCTGGGAGTCATTGCGCCCGTGTTTAGGCTAGATTTGATTGATTGGAAAGCTGACATGCGGATTGTTTCAGTACGATTTTTGCAGTTCTATTGTGCTACTCTTTGATTATCAGACCTCTTCATTCAGCTCAATCTCCTCAATGAGACACCAAAGCTTCAATATTGCCTCCTGCAATAAGCTTATAGCCTCTGATTTCTTGTCTCCCATACCTCAGCTTTGCTAAATCTGTAGTGTGGTTCAAATTCAAATTCAAAACATACTTTATTGTCCAAAGAATACATTCTTCTTGACAAAGCCTTGTGAGAAGTATAAATATCATGTAAATGAAATCACAGAAGTTAAATCACATGAACTGAAAAAAGACATGGTGATAACAATAACCTAATAAAAACGTTCAGGACTTACGAATATGGTCAATGAAATGAATCAAATCAATTTAAACTGAATTGGATCAAAATGAATCCAATCAATAAAATACCGTATAGATATTACAGTCAGTCATACTCAATTTGAATTATCATTGAAGAATTCTGCTAAGCTATAATAAGGTCTCACAGAAAGCAAGTCTCTCAACTCTTCCTCAAGAGCTCTAAGGCCATTTATGGTTCGTATAGCCTGAGGAGGGTGACTGAACATTTTGAGACCGTTGTAAATGATGAAATCTTCAGCTAGTGTCAAAGAAGGCAGGCAGCGGTAATGTGAAGCAGAATCTTTGCCTGTTTGATACATTGGCTCGTCCTATTGAAAAAATGAGATCATAGTTAGGATTCTATTAAAGGCAAAAAGAGGCCAAGTACCCTTACAAACGGGTGGTTGTGGCATAGCAGGTGTTTCGTGAATTCAGGTTTCATTTCAGGAAGCTCTCTCCACCAATCCGCGATCTGACTTCCATGTCTTCATACTCGTTTCCGCCAGCTCACAGAAATATTCTGGACCTATCATGGCCTTGGATGAACCTTCTCAAGCTGAAGTATTTACCTAGCTATCTGTTTCTTCAAAGATACCTTTGCTTCGAAAGAGAATAACCATAACATTGAAGAATGCAACTGACGCCTTTGAGTCTCTTTCATTTTTGATATTCATAGACTGATTATTTTTCTGATACCATATATGTGAAAGCAACGCTGTTCGATATCGGATCATTGGTGCTTCGTTTCTGGTTTCAAACAGATGTTCATTTTACCAACCTTCCAAGATAAGGCACATGTAAAATACATATTGAGCCCAAACTAGTTATCCATAGAAATGTTTACTCTTTCAGTAAAATTTTTGGATGAATATTGTGCTATTACTCCAAAAGAGGTGATGTTCTTCTGCTGTCTTCTCAAAATTCCTACTTTTTATATCGACCTAGTTCTTTGCTATTGATTTTCCAGATTTCTTCTATTTCGTTAACCACATTTTTTATTTCAGTAGTAAGCAAATTCTTCCTCATCAGCATTATATTTATCTTTCAGTATCCTCGATTCCCAGCGTTAATAGGTGTTTCTCAACATGAGATGAAACCCAGAACATATCTTAAAATTTCTTGTTTTCTCCAATTATTCGTGAATTTAGTAAAATTCTCAGAATTTTTTCATCACTGTGTTTAACCACAGTGAGTTTATAAATAAATTTGGAAGAATCTTTTGATTCTTCTAGAAACTCCTTCATCTTGATGAAAGCCACACGTCTATAAACTATTATCGCAACGAAAAATTAGTTTGGGAAGAAATATGAAACGTGAAATCTCAATTATAGTCAATTAGATTCTTCCACTTCGATGGTTTTCATTTCGGCAGTCTTTTCTGTTTCAGTAACATCAGTTTCCAATTCAAACTGCGTGTACTGCTGAAGAATATTTTGTTACCTGTTTCGACGACATTCCCAAAAATCTCGTCTGTGAAAGTCAGAATCACCCTTCGATAAACTTGAATCAGAATTACAAAAGAAATACAAAAATCAGATAACGTTCAGGTGCTCAATTCAATTAACAAAGTTGATGTCAACTTCTTCAGTTCGAGAAGTGTTGGATAAATGATATAATTTGTTGCATGCAATAAATTTGATTGAGATTGATGTGATACTCACCTGGAGCTGGAGTTGGCTTTGTTGTAGGTGTCGGCGAGGTTGGGGGTTTCGTTGGAGGCGTTGGAGGAGTTGGAGGAGTTGAAGGTCTCGTTGGAGGGGTTGGAGATGTTGGCCTATCAGTAGGTGTCGAAGAAGCTGTTGAATAACAAGAAGACATTGAAGCACTTATAAATCGAAATAATAATACAAAAGATGAGGTTCTGTACTACAATCTAGGGAAGCAGCATACTACAACCCCGGGAAAAACCCAGAGGGCTGGCAGACTTTCCAGACTCCAGTCTGCCTGCCTGTTGGACGTCCGTCAGTACATTTGTCTTGAAAACGTTTCTCAAGGATATCTCTCAAAAGATTCGAAAACTAAAATGTTATTCTCCAAACCTTTCGCTTTTGAGAGGAATCGGACGATGGGAAAACCGTTCTTACAAGAAAAACAAAAACGTTCATGAAATTGTTTCAGCTACTCTCAATAAAATGTTTTCTGTGTATTCAGTGGTACAGTTAGTATCGATGTTTTTTTTAAATAACTGCCTAAATTCTCTTAGAAGTCTAGGAATGATTCAAAATTTCCATTCGATGAATTCTTTAGATTTCAAGTAGGTACTATGGAAAAATCAATATAATATTTCTCATAGTTTGGAGTTAATTCTCACATTTATTGCTCGAAAATTTTTTTGAATCATGTGAATTCAGTTCATCCACACACGGTTTTATTACTTCTCAGGTTTTTCTTTCATTCACCTTATATTATTGATGTTTTTGATGCCTTTGTAATGAATGATAATAATATGATCTGAGGTTAACAATTGAAACCACTGTTTTTGGGAATTGCATTACCCATTGAACAAAGTGGAGTTTTGTCTCTTTTTTCATTCCATTCATAATCTTTTCAATTATTTCATCGAAGTTTCACCGTATATGAACTTTTATTCATACTTTTTTCTTCCGTCTCGAATTGCAACCGTTGAAGGTGAAGTGAAGCATCTAACTTATAGATTACGATAATTTATAATGAAATTTGGAACAATCATGAAATACAAATCAATTCAAAGAACTAAGATTATAAAAAAAAGAAAAGAAGAAAAAAAATCACATCAAAGGTGCTGGTTCGTTCCCTCCTGTTCATAAAAGAGGACATATGCCTCATTGCTCACAAGTGATTTTGGCGAAATTGGGAACACGTGTGAATCGTTGTATTCATGCCACATGCCACTATATGGGTGTCTGCAATATGCTGTATAATGTCCGTTGTAAGTAGTCCCACTGTGATTTGAAAGTGCATATAGATTATAATGACAAGGAGCCACATTGTCTGCTGCATAACTGCTCATATCTAATCCATCTGAAGAAAAGTCAATGAAAACATTCAATTTGCCTCTGAACCTTTCCGTCGGAGAGAATCTTTTCAAATGAATTACTAAAATACGGGGAAACTTATAGATTGATAAGGACTTTGTTCATTTTCTCCTTTGCTTGCACTTCGAACACATTGGTTTTTCATCTCCATCCAGAGTTTCCTCTCTTGTGAAAGAATCCAAGCAATGTGACAAACTCACTTGGCCAGATCTTCGTGAAATCCCAGAAAGGATCAAAGGTTACTGATGAGTGTCCACAATGTGTGAACTTCATAGTGGATTTTAATTGACCAACGAAATAGTCTACAATATTGGAGTTGTTCATAATCAAATATCTCTGCCAGGACTCTTGTGCTTTTCTGTTATCGCTCAATTTTTCGTCAATCTCAGTTAAGATCGGTTCAGGTTTCTCAGTGATTTTGTTGACGTCCTCATGTAAACCTTCTAAAAGATATCGAAGGAATTCGTGGACGTCTTGATGGGCAGAACCCATGATTGCGATGAATATATTGGCAGTTGCTGGAGACTGATATATTCAGGAATTATTTCTCCAGGAGTTCGAGAGAAAATCTATTCAAAAAATGTTTTTTTCCTTAACCAGCTATCGGCCTCCTATGGAAGACAACCCTCAGAAGTCGAAACTTGTGTGAGCTGAAGAATAACGAGGTCTTACCTTGTAACCTGCGATTCCTAGCACGGTAGGTAGAAGGAAATAATTTGGAAGAAGCCTACATTTCACTCCAATTTAGATTATATAACTATAAATATCAATACTTTCCTAATACGATTCTTGTCAAATAACTCTTGAGAATACTTACTTGAAGTACCTGAAACAAAAACAATTGATTAGTTTCAAACAGTATTACCCATGGACTTATATGAGTATGACTTTGGCAAACAGTGGATAATGATGAATGTTATCAAATTCTTTCTGAATGTCAGTATATACAGGACGTTTTTTATCAGCTGACCCCACTATTGCTATTTCGGAAACGAATATCACTGACTATTTTTGAAATATTGGCCTGACATTGACATTGTCGAATTTTGTTTTTGTACTCCATTTTGAAGGATATAAAAAAGGCGAAGGAACTTTCAATATTGTTACATATTTGTTTTTTCTAATATGAACCAGTTCGCAAAGCGAATGCCTGTACAGCTGAATTCGTTATAACAGTTGCTATAAAAATCGGTGAAGAAAAGAGAAGTCCTCATTGAAAAAGTTGATGATGAAGTCCAATGGACGAAACGTCGCATTGCAAATTGGTTCATATCAGATTATAACAAACATAAAAAATCATTTCTTCCTTCATATCATTCGAGATGGTGGAAGTAGAGTTGAAATATGAAATTCGACAAAAGCAACCAATGACGTTCCTGATCTGAAAAAAAATTATTCTAATTCTCCATAATGGAAAACTCTTTGTTCAATTCAATCGACATTGTAGATTCCACCGTTTTTAAAATATCATTCGAAACGAAGGCGGTAGAGCCAAAATATGAAATTCCATAATTCCACTTTTTGGTGAAAATTTCAAAAACAACGAATGACATTCTTGATCTGGGAAGGAATTATTTCAGTTCTCCAAAACTTTTGTCTGATTCAACTGACATCATAGGTCTCACCGTTTTCGACATAACAATATCATTCGAAATGGGGGTCGTAGAGCCAAAATATGAAACTCCACAATTCCAATTTTTGGCAAATAGTTCAGAAACAACCAGTGACACTCTTCATCAGAGAAGAGGTTCTCTCTCTGGTATCTGTAGAGTAGGGAGGGTAAGTGTAGCTCACAGCACTTAGCCCACATGTGACCCATTGTACATCCTCCCGAGGAGTTGTCCTTCTAGGTCATCGTCCATCCTGTCCTTTCCAGGAAAGTAAATAGGTCACTAGAAGACATCTCCTTCATATTGGCAGGTTTAGGCCAAGAATCGCCGAACACACACTCTCTTTGGCAACCTTGCAATGTCTCACGGTGGCCTCCGCGAAGGTTTTGGAAGGTGCAGCGATATTACTGTCGTTGTGCAGCTTCTTCAACCTTCTTGGGGTTTCCTCCGTGGAGGTGCACAAGTAAAGGAGCTTTCCTGCAGGGGCAGCCGATTCCTTGCCTTCATTCAAGGCGGAGCTCTTGGCGCCCGCCGCAGAAATTTCCCTTGCTGTTGGAGGTGATCTGCTATGACCATCCTCATTTCAAGCGGTAGATTGGTGTGGACATTTCTGTTCATCTTCAGCCACCGCCTTAGATTGAGGTGAGCACTTCTGTTCAGCCTCGGGATTGGTTTTTGTTTTTGTTGTTTCTGTTGTTTCATTCATGTGTGTTCCCACGAGTAGCAAGGGAAGAGTTGGTCACCTTTGGCAGAGCGCCGCATTACCAGAGGTAGGCTTATTACAATGAGGTTTCGCCCAGTTCCCCAAGGGGATTGTTCGTGACTGCATATCACCCTGCGGCCATTCAGCTGTCGGCACGATTCCTTACACCTTTGCTTCGGTAGGCTGGTCCACGATGGTATGTTTAGCAAAGGCTTTTGGGGGTTTTTAGTTCCCCTCACCTTACTTATTTTTGTCACTGACCCCGTCCATAAGGCTAAATTGGCTTGCCGGACAGGGCCTCCAGTTCCCTGGCCGTTCCCCTAACTGCCACCTGGGGACGAGCCCGATAGGTAGGTCAACCCAGGTACAGAAAAGAGAACAACCGACATTGTAGCTCTCTGAGATTGCAATATCATTATAAATTTCAAATTTGTCGTATAATTCAAAAACAACCAGTGACAATCTCAATCAGGAAAGAGGTCCAAAGTAGAAAACTTTTGTCAAAGCCAGAAACCCACAATTCCAGTTTTCGGAGAATATTTCAAACAAACAACCTAACCTAACATAACCTAACCTAACCTAACCTAACCAATGACATTCTCAATCTGAAAAAAATTTATTTCAGTTTTTAAAAATGGGAAAATGTTGTCCAATCCAACCGACATTTTAGGTCTCACTGTTGTCGAAAGGGCAACAGTGGGTAGGTAGGTAGGTAGGTCTGAAGTGAGTGGGTCCATTCGACCCTCCACCGCAACACATAAGGGTTTATTGTGACTCACAACTATTCACACTCGGCCAAATTCCTCCTTCGCAAGAGAGGCAGCAGCTTCATTGCCTTCCAGGCCAGTATGACCAGGAATCTAGACCAGAGACAATCTGTTTAGTCTTCCTATCGAGGAGGGTCTTTTTTGGCAGTTTGCTACCAATTTAGACGTTGCTCAGTGGGAGCCAAGAGCTTCCAACGCCGTTTGACTGTCCGAAAATATTTTTATTGACTTTTGAGTGAGGTTGGATTTATCCAATCTCTCCGCACACAATTCCTAGGCAGGTAGATAACTCTGTTACTCTGCGACTGAAAACACCTGCATCAGAACCGGTAGGTTTTTTTGATCCATCTGTGAACCAACAACTATCTGCTCTTAATATTTCCTTCTTGGGCAGGATCCAGTCCTCTCTGCTCGGAAATGTACTTTATGAGGCAGTTCGTAGTTGACAGTTGGAGGCATAAAGTCAGAGGTCATTTCCAGAATGCTGTGACTTCCAATGTCAACCAACAGTCTGTTGCATTCTGCATTGAATTGATTTGTGCAATTGACAATGTGCACAAGTCTGTTTGCAGTCCATCTAGCCTCTCTTTTCAGAAAAATGTGGAGAGGAGGTAGATCTAGAAGGATCTTCATGGCCGCTGACGGTGTAGTACTGATGACACCACTGATAGCCAGACAAGCCAGTCTCTGTAAGCCAGAGAGCTTGGCTTGGCCGTTTTCTGTAAAGCCTGTTTTCCAGAAAGAACCAACAACAACCGACATTGTAGCTCTCTGAGATTGTAATATCATTCAAAATTAAAAATTTTCTCGTGTAATTCAAAAACAGCCAATGACAATCTCGATCAGGAAAGAGGTTAGGTCAGTTTTCCAAAATAAGAAACTTTCATCAAAGCCAAAATATGGAGACCCGCAATTCCAGTTTTTGGAGAATATTTCAAAAACAACCAATGACATTCTCGATCTGGAAAAAGTTTATCTCAGTTTTTCAAAATGGGAAACTGTTGTCCAATTCAACCAACATTTCAGGTCTCACTGTTGTCGAAATGGCAACAGTGGGATAAGTTAAAAAAACGACCAGTACAATACCTTTCTGTCCACGATGGTAAAGATCTGCAGATTTTTTGAGTTATCCATGCCTAATGGATTCCAGTTGACACTTTTGGCCATGAAGCTATATTGGTAAGGTGAAATAGTCTAATCGTGAAATTGAAGATGTAAAAACTGTTTTATAACATGGATAACGAGCACATTCATCTAATTGTATCCATGATAATAATCAAAAAATTTTCATAAACACTCTTTACTTCTACGTGTAGACGCGTTTCGGAAACACTCTGTAGAGATGAATTTCTACCAAGGAAGCTACGGTTTGAGCGAACCGGGTCTGTTCAACTATTATCATGGATAGAGTTGATTATCATAGAATAACAGGCCAATCCATTCATAATCTGTCTAATTAAAGTACCCGTTACTTACTGCAAGTAACGTTGCTGAAATCGCCGCAGAAAAATTCGAACATGTCAAAATATTGATCAGGCGGACATTCCACATGTACTTTATCTCCATGTTCACATTCATAATACCAGTGGCAGTCGTGGTAATCCACAATGTATACGGTTGGACCAGTATAATCTGGGGGTGGGCATTCTGGTTCTGGTGTTGGTGTTGTTGGAGGAGTTGGTGGCGTCGGAGGTTTCGTTGGAGAAGTTGGAGGAGTTGGAGGCGTTGAAGGTTTCGTTGGAGGAGTTGGAGGCGTTGAAGGTTCCGTTGGAGGAGTTGGAGGCGTAGAAGGCCTCGTTGGAGGAGTTGGAGACGTTGGCCTTGCAGTAGGTTTTGTTGGAGGCGTAGGTTCCGGAGAAGCTGTTGAATCACAAGCAGATATTGGAGCAATTATGAATAGAAATAATAATAGCATAAATGAGGTTTTGTATTTCCAAAGCTTCTGCTTTTGAGAGAAATGGAAAAATGGAAAAGCCGTTTTTTCGAAATAAAGATTGTTTCAGTTACCCTCAATGAAGTTTTTCACTGTGTTCAATGGTACAATTTACAACGAAGTTTTTTGAAGTTACTGATTCAATTCATAATTCGAACGACTACTGCAGATATCAATGAAATTCTTTGAACCTCTTTTCTCTCGAAAGACTCAAAATTATTGAAACTTCTCATTTGTTCAATTTTTTAGATTTTGAGTTGTACTATAGAAAAGGTCATTGAAATATTTCTCATAAATTCGACAGTTCATGAATTATTCTCATATTTAGTGTCCGAATATTTTTCAGAATAATGTGAAATTCAGTTCATCCACCTCTTATTATCGATGTTTGTCATAATTTGTTTTATTGTCTTTGTGGGAAATAATAATATTTTTGATTGGAGTTAACAATTTGAATCACTGCCTTTGGGATTACGCTGTAACCTGTGAAATATAATCTATTCCAGGACATTTCAATTCCTTGATTTCATACCTAGTGGTTTGATTATTGTCTTATCTGTTTGATAGCATAGTCAAACCTGCAGAAACTCAATAATCAAAAATTTGAATTTAAAATATTCTCCATTACACCAGAGAATTCGTAAATAATAGTTTCAGCTTTGTCTCTTTTCTTAGTCGTTTCTTAATCTTTTCCATTATTTAATTGATATTGTATCATATACGAACTTTCAATTTTTGACTGCCAATATTTTCTCTTGATAAATTATGAACCATTTAGTTTTCCCCGTCTCGAATCACAACCATTGAAATCAAAATATGGCAACTAGTTTATTGTTCACGATGAATTTGGCCGTAACTAGAGGATAATATATTCAGGAATTATTGCTTCAGGCGTTTCAGAAAGGAATCTAACCAGAAAATGTTTTTTCGTTAACCAGTTGTCGGTCTCCTATGGAAGACAACCCTCAGAAGTCGAAACTTGTGAAGAATAACGAGGTCTTACCTTTCAACCTGCGATTGCCAGCACGGTAGGTAGGATAAAATAATTTGGAAGTAGCCTACGTTCCACTCCCGTTCAGATTATATTACTAAAGATATTGATACTTGTCTAATGACTATCGATAATACTTACTTGAAGTACCTGAAACAAAAACAGTCAATTAGATTTATATTGTATTACTCGCAGTCTTATATAACTATGACTTTGGCTAGCAGTGGATGATGATGAGATTTATCAAATTCTTTATGAATGTCAGTTTATACAGGACTTTTTTTTCAGCTGAGGCCACTATTGTTATCTCGGAAACGAAAAAACCTACAAGATCAAAAATATCAGTGGCTATTTTTGAAATATTCCTGAACTGAAATTGTCAAATTTCATTTTTTAACTCTTCTGCCTCCATATCGAATAATACAGAAAAGGCAAAGGAAGTATCGATACTGTCTCATGAGCTGCAAAGATTGTGATGAGAAATATGTTGGTCAAACCAATCGGACTATATTAGCTCGCTACAAAGAATATGTTTCTCATGTTTGGTTTTATAGACCGGAGAATTCTAGTGTCGCTCAATATGCCATTAAGAACGATCATAGAATAAGTTAGGAATCTTCAAAATTATTGAGACCGTTACGTGACAACAGGTTTCGGGATATTTTCGAAAGCTTGGAAATCGAAAAATTCCGAATGAGTTCTATGAATAGCGACAAAAGTCCTGTTTCGAACAACCCCTTGTTTGGTCTTATAGCAACAATTCTAAGAAAACAGATAATTATCAAATTAAACTAGGGGATAGTCATTCACATAGAAGACTACATAACAAATCAGAGGTATTGAAAACAGGTAGTTTAGCATAGGACCAATAACAGACAGTAGTTAGGTAATATCAACCGGTGTAGTTGGGCCACTAGCATATATAAACACTAACAATTGAGGCCTAATAATTTCCTGAGGACGCTAACTCAGCGAAATCGTAATTTTTGTTCTGGTATTGCCTGCCAACCTGTATTGTATTACAGAGCTGAATTTTTCATCATAGTGGCTATAAAAAACGATGAAAAAAACTAGAAGACTTCATTGAGAACATGAAGTCGAGGAAATCTACTAAACGGAACATCGCATTGCAAATTGATTCATATTAGAATATAAAAAATGCAAAACAATATTGAAAGTTCCTCTGCCATTTTCCATATCATTCGAAATGGACGCGGTAGAGCCAAAATATGGGATTCGACAATTTTAGTTTGACGAATATTTTAACCGCTGATTCTCGATCTAGAAGGAAAATATTCCAGTTCGCCAAAATAGGGAACTTTTGTCCGATTCAACTGACATTGTAGGTCTTACCGTTTCAGAGATAACAATAGTGGGAGCAGTTAGAAAAACGTCCTGTATAATACCTACGTTAGGTAAGGTTAGGTCCAAAGTGAGTGGGTCTAACCCGCAACCCGCAAGGGTTTATTGTGACTCTGTCTCTGTCTGTCTCTGCAAAAGACATTGACCTGTAAGAAGGCCTGCCAATGACAGGTATAATACCTAACTGTACACGATTGTTGAGACCTTCAGAATACTTCCAAGTTAGTTATGCATGCCTCATTAGCTGACCTTCTGGTGGCTATGAAGCTATGTTGGTTAATTGAAATAGTCAGTTCGTGAAGTTATAGGTGTAAAATTTTTTTATAAGCATGGCTAGCGAGCGTATCTATGTATCTATCTAAGTACAAAGCTTGTCACTCACTGCAAGTTACGTTACTGAGATCACCGCAGAAAAACTTGAACATGTCGAAATACTGATCAGGTGGACATTCGAAATGTTTTTTATCTCCTTGCACACATTCGTAGTACCAGTGGCAGTCGTGATAATCGACAATAAAAACGGTTGGACCATCATAAGGTGGGGGAGGACATTCTGGTTCTGGTGTCTGTGCAGTGGCTCCTGAAATAGTCAATTGTTATTTACACTTCACATGGTAATAATACCCACAAAACTTTCTAGTTTTCTAGGTGGACTGAAAAGTTCGTAAGTTAACACACAGATGGTGCTACTTGTAATGAGTATATATGGTTTCACGCGTACAAATTTCACAGCTGCCGGACTGTTAGGTTGGGGGATAATATATTTCAGGTGAAGCAACTTTTGTTAATTGGAAAAACAGGATTAGAAGAAATGACGTGTGTTGATAAAGCATTGCTTTTTAACGAAATAAATGTAGTGTTTCAGCCAACGCTAGACTTGTTGAACATTATTTGGACTTTGCACTAGGAAATTTCAACTATTGAAAACTGGTTTGCTGATGTTGAATGAGGTGAACCGAGGACCGAGGGCGATGCACACTGTAGACGACGTAGACGAGGAAAACATCAATCAAGGTCACAAAATAATTTTGAATGACTGCAAAGTGTCGTTGATCGAGATATCTGAGGCTCTGTAGATATCAAAGAAACGTGTTGGACATATCGTGCATGAATATTTGGGTATGTGGAATCTGTTCAGAAGAATTGATGATTCTGAGCATAAAAACGATCGTCATCTGAGTGGACTGTATGTGGTCAATCAACTGCAAAGACGCAACAGCCGGCTAGCAAGTTCATAGTTTCAGTTTTTTGAGATGCGCGGGGTGAAACATTCATCTACTAACTTGAAAAGGGAAATAAAATCGACAGCGATTATTATATTGTGTTATTGGAGTGTTTGAAGAACGAAGTCGCGAAAAAACCGCTATATTCGAAGAAAAATAAAGTGCTGACATCATGACAAGGCATCGTGTCCCAAATCAATGTAAACGGTGGCGAAATTGCATCAACTGGGCTTAGAATTGCTCCCGCATCCACCGTATTCTCCAGATCTGGCTCCTCAGACCTCAAAAGAATGCTCACCAGAAAAAATCAGGTTCTATGAAAAGGTAATCATTGGTACTAATGTCTATTTTGAAACTGAAGGCAAATCGTACCTTATAAATGGTATCGACATATTTTATGACCGCTGTAATCATTGTATCTCCCTCGAAGACAACTATATTGAGAAGTGAAATCAAAATTTTTCAATTCTCTTTCTTTGTTGGCTTACGAACTTTTCAATCCAACTGTTTCACCTTTCAACGAAATTACGATAAGAGTCAAATCATTATTATTTTAAGTTCAGCGAAATTTGAAATTGAATTATCAGGAGGCTATTTGAAAATCCGAAATAATTCGAAAAAACTAAGTATTGCCTATTGACTGACCTTCACTTCATTATTCCATCATGAAAAATGAAACAAGATCAATTTCATACTTTTGTTGTTATTTTTCCCTTCAAGTCATCGTTGACAGATTTTCTATGCATCATTTCATTTCAGGTAACCATTGCTAACTTCATTTTCTTGGACAAAAAATAGTACACTCTGTACTGAGTATCATTTTCATTGCAAAAACTGAGATATTCTGTAATATCTAGCAGGAAAAAACTAGGTATATTTGTAATTTCTAGCTTCGGAAATAGATGAATTTCTTTTGATTCATAATTTCAAACAACGGCCCTGTGTCTCATACAATGTGACAACTTGACCAGACCGTGAGAGTGTTTATGTAAAAATGTATCTGCGTGTTTTTGGACAGACGCAGAGTCATATAGCTGGAGCGGCCAAGAGGTAGACATGAGAAAATCAATTTTCAAACCTTGAAATCTATAGATTTCAAGTAGACCAGAATAGGTATTTGCTGTTGACCTCAGTCGAGTATGGTGACGGTTACTAAGAACGGCAGGATAAAATTAGCAACCATCTCACTAAAACGGAGCCATAGATTCGTTAATTAAAAATTTGGCAAATCTATATCCACTGGGGGAAAAAGAACCCCTCGCGAATCAAGGTTCAAGAAACTAGTGACGTGATTTTTTCCTGCTTTTTGGAAGCTAGTCGCGCGGGAAATTTTTGGGAAGTAAGTCTTCCTGGACTTCGAGAAGGGTTTGCGAACTTGCAGCTGGAAGCGTGCTCTCGACGGTCGAGAGGTATATTATTCGGTTTTGGAAGTCAATTTTCCTTATAATTGAAAAGTTAAGATATTTGAAACCGAACGGTTAACACGTTTTTCCATATAATATTTCATTAGTAGTATGTCGCAAGGGGGAATCGTGAAGTGTGAAAAATTCAAGAGAGAATCGAGCAGCGTAGGGCTTAAATTGAATAAGATAATGACTCAGTGGGCCAAAACCGTGTATAAACGAGTTGTTATTGAGGTGGAGTTTTTGATACGATATTTTTGGATAACCTACAGGGACAAGCTCGCGAAAGACAGCGGTGAGTTAAATGTACATGTGTACCAACCGTTTGATGAATTTTGAGAAGGAGTTATTGAAGTCAGTATACAGAGTGGGCCTAATAATTGAGTCACAGTTATTTAGCGGTCAAAAATTATCGGCCAAGCTAGAGTATTACGTCACTTTTGTATATGATGGTAATTTAGGGCGAATGCACTCAATTTGAGTTTCATTCGAGATTTGGTTGTTTCAAACCTCTTTCGAAATTGCCTCAGTAATAAAAATTTGTTGTGGAGAATCCGCATCTGGTGACAGCAGCTGCCAAATTTAATTCAAATAAAACAAACACGGCAATAGCCAGAGGGTTACCAAGGGTTGATAGACAGGTAATTACGTATCATATCACTGGTGACCCAGCTATAAACCCATTGATTTTACAATACAAAACAATATGACTAAAAGGATTTTCATTAAATTTCGACTATTTAAGTAAAAGGTACTGAAATTATAGTACTCACCTGAACTGAAAGCAATAAAAATTGTAATAGCAGCAAAAATAGGTTCTGTGGAAAAAAATCAAAGTTAAAATGATAAAATCTGATGAATTGTTTCCTATAATTTGTTGACAACAAAACATGGTATATATCATTTCGAGAAAAAAACACTGTATACTTTCTTGAAATATTTGGAGTCAATATATAAACACATTTTTGATTCTGACAGTTGTATCGCCAACAACATATGCAGGAATTACATCTGCGAAGAATCCTGCTCTGACACTTGTTGGGTATAATCCAGTGCCCTTCGTGGTATTAGCCAGAGGAGTAGTTGTTTTCTGGTAGGCGTCAGTCCATTAACCTACAGTGTAGGTGAGTTGAGACTGGCCTGGACAAATTTCACTTTCAGATAATTTGATTTACATACAGTCAGCTAAGTATTCCCCCTACTATATGTGAAAAAAAAACAATTTGATAACCATACAAAAGTAGAATATATATAATGGAGCACACGAATATGACAAGTTGTATCATTCCGTGTTCTGATCCTCACAAAAATGCTGGCTTATAAAGGCTGATTATTTCAGCGGCTCATATAGGAGATTGGCGATGGATTTCCAAAGACGAAACGTCGAATAAAACATCTGTTATCGGCGTCTCAAATAGCTTGAGAATCAGCAATGTGGAAGTGCTCTCTGTACCTCAATTCTTCTTGAATACATAAGAAGAAAATTAAAAGGTAATTAGCGAATTTCGGATTTTCTCGAATATCTCAGGAATTGTTTGTAATTTTTTTAAATTTTGAAACGTCTTGCAGCCGAGGTTGTATCCACCGAGGTCAAATGCTGACTCTCCTTATCTTGGAGTGTGTATAGACCAAAGACCAAAAAGGATTGTTGCGCAGCAGATTATTCACCAAAAAACATGCGTATAAAGTATAATCAATGATAAAAAAGTCAAACCCCTATCAATTTCTCAATAGTATATTACTTACTCATAATTGTGCTGTGAGACCCGTTCACGATTTTTCTCAGACCACGAATATGAGACCAACTACATTAAATGATATTTTATATGAAGATCATTGAAAAAATCACCTTTATCTTCGGTTCTCATATCCCGGTCCAATATTAGTCGAAATCCATTTTATCAGAAAAACAATTATCAGTGAATCATCAATCAATCTAAGCCAGAAAATTTCAAGATAACTTCAGTGAGGTGCCGTACACAATTATTTCATTTTTATCTTTATACGTCGCGGTTACATTTGATTTGACAAAAAAAAAACACTGATAACAATAGAATTGTTCTATTGAGGACTATTTGCAGTCTTATATAACTGATGATTTACAGGCATTTCAGTGGAATATTCGAAAGATGAATAGCTGGACACTTGTTTTTACTTTAATCTTGGAGTTGGAAAAGAAGGAATTGTTCGTAGTTGATCTGAGAATGTAATTTAGCGGTGCAAAACTTTTTCATGTAAAATTTTGAACAACGGGCCTTAAAGCAAGCGTGAAATCATATTGTTGCCTGGGTTTGTGATAAAGCAAGGTGGTGAAGAAACACTTTTCTATCAAATCTGAACTTTCTCGACCCATAAATCCAGTTGACAATGGAACAAGAAAGCGAAGGGACTTTAGTCTTCTTAGATGTTCTTGTGAAAATACGTGAAAATGGTACATTGGCCACAAATCATACAGGAAAACAAAGCACATAGACAGGTACCTGAAGAGGAACTCTAACTACCAGCCAAACAAACGAGAGGGATAATTAAGACATTGGTTGAGAAAGCACGACGTATTTTCGAACCTGATAGTCTTCCTGAGAAAGTCAACCACCTGAAAAGGGGATTTGAGCAGGTCGTAAGACCCCGGAAAGGAAACTTCAAAGTTAGCCCAAGGATAAGTCTTTCTGTCCTATGGTAAAAATGTTGCTGATCAGATTGGAAAAATCTTGGGAAAACACGAATGAAAACAACATTCAGGCCTACAAAAACTATTGTCTGCTAAGGAGCCAAGGAAACTTCTAGCAACACCCAGGGTAACCAAAATTATCTAGAGAAGTTTCAATTTTGGTTTTTATAGATCAACAAATTATCACTGACACTGCTGAACCATATATTTTATGTCTTCTTTCTCGTTGTTGTGTATGATTTCAGTGAAGTTTGTTTGAAGTATATTTCACCTGGCTCAATAAATTGTTGTTGTTGTTATTATTCTACTCAAAGAAGCAGAAAGCCCGTTTGGAGTATATGGAACTAGATAAAAAGTACATACGCAAGTAGCATTGCCCCAGAACAGAAATAAAGTGAGCAATCAATAAAAAAGTTTGACAGATTCGTTTCCGTGAAAGTAGTCACAATATACTTGCTCTCGGGCCTATCACATACAAGGCGCTAATCGCATTAACCGCTTTTTCAGTCAGTACAAACTTTCAAAAGAAAGCCATTGAAATTTCATGATATATAAGTTTGTGAGTTATTGTGCTGAGAGTGACACTATTTTTGTTACTTTTGAAATAATGGATCAAAACCAATTTCATGTTTCAATTTTACACTATTTTTTATGGTAAAACATATCGTTCAAGCAAAGCAATGGCTTGAGAAGTGTTATATGGACTCTGTTCCATCAGAAACAAAAATTGAACGTTGAGTTGCTGACTTCAAACGTAGTCGTAAAGACACTGATGAGACAGAACGCAGTAGACGTCCAAATGAGGCAGTAACACCAAAACACATAAAAAAGACCCCAAAATCGTGGACGCTAGATTTTCATATAGGAATTTCAAAACTATCATAAAATACAGAGTATTTCATTTGAAAGTTTGAGCCCATCAGTTATTCAACGCCACTTTACCTCAATGGTATAGTCATTTCATTTGGAAAGGAAATAATAAAAAACTCACCTGGAACGCGTACTTGTGAAAAGTTCTACACAAAGACAGACTGTCCCTATGGACATATCGAAGGATTTGTGGTAAAATTTGAAGGTTATGTCCCAAACAAATCCATTGGATTTATGTGATGATCGTCAAACCAATAATCACTTATGGTGCAATTGCCTGGTGGCCGAAGTGCCACACCGTCAGCGGCCATGGAGATTCTTCCAGATCTACCTCCTCCCCAAATTTTTCTGAAGAGAGACGCTAGATGGTCTGTATACAGTGTGTAACAACGAAAACTTAACAGAGCCGTTTTCGAATATAAAAAGTAAGATTTTTAAAAAAGCTTGGACAAGTCGATTTCAGACTAATCAGATTTTTTTTGTAGTACCCCCTCGGAGGGGTGCGTACTGCCCTTATTTAGATAGGGAAAGTAGGTCGAGTGGCACCTTGTTTCAAAGGTATTTCGAATACCTTTACAACTCTGTCAAGAAAACATTTTTGTAACGGTCCATTTTCGAGATAATCTGAAGTTGAAATTGCCATGTTAATAATAAATTAGACAGACCACTCAGTAACTTGTATGCCTACATAAACAAATTTTCGAGCAGTTCCTTCTTATCAGTTTTTTGTTAAATGAAATCCCTTTTTTAAAATCAATACCCACTCCTCTTCTTCCAGTTAGTACATCGTTCGATTGTTCTGTTTAAACGGGTCGTGTATTGTTATTTGTTTAAAAATGTCTTACACTACTGCTGAAAGGGTTTCAGTTATTGCTCTATTTTTTGGCAACGACCAAAATGCTAATAGAACATCAATTTTATTTAACGAGCAAAACCCTGGTAAACACCTAAGCAGAAATCACGTTCTGGATTTGGTCACAAAATTCAGGGAGACAGGTTCGGTTTTAAATAAGAGAAGAAATGTTCAGAGAAGGGTAGTGAATGACGATAATGCGATAGGAGTGATTGGTCAAGTCATCGCCAATCCCAGGTTAAGTACCGGAGGTTTATCAGCAATGGCCGGAATAAGCCATATGAGCGCATGGAGAATCCTTAAAAACCACAAATTCCATCCTTACAAAATTAAACTTGTTCTTGAACTCAATGAGGATGATTTTGACCGAAGATAGGAGGAGTGAGGGCATGAGTGAGAGATTATTGCAAAATCCCGAGCTGCTTTATAACATCTGTTTTTCGGACGAAAGCTCATTTTATTTAAATTGTTGCGTGAACCGTCACAATTGCCGACAATACGCAGAAATACATACCCAACATCCCCAAAAGTTGAATGTCTGAGCCGGAATATTGGTCAGTCATATCATAGGTCCAGGATCCAAGATGTCAAAATGAATTTATCCATTTTCAACAAGACGGTGCATCACCCCATTATGCCCAGCAGGTTCGAAACTTTTTGAATAATAATTTTGAAGGACAAGGGACTGGCAGAAGAAGTCCAATTGAATGGCCAGCACGATCACCAGACTCAACACCGCTGGACTACTTTTGGTGGGGATACTCAAAGTCTCAAGTTTATGCTACACAGCCAGCCAATTTGGATGAATTACGTCGTAGAATTATTGATGAATGCCGAGCTCAAAAACGGCTCTGTTAAATTTTCGTTGCTACACACTGTATAGACCTGTGCACGTTGTCGATTGCACAAATCAATTTGATGCGGAGAACAACAGACTGTTGGTCGACACTGGAAGTCTCAGCATTCTGGAAATGACCTCTGACTTTATGCCTCCTACTGTCAACTATGAATTGCCTTACTGTTCCCGAGTAGAGAGGACTGGATTCTCCGGGAGAAGGATATTTCATGAGCAGATTGTTGTTGGTTCACAGATGGATCAAGAACACCTTCTGGTGGTTCTGGTGCAGGTGTTTTGAGTCGTGGACCCAGGACATTGATATCAACCTGCGACTGTATTTCAATTTCGAATTTACGCTATTGAATGATGTCCGCAGAGATTGGAAAAATCCAACCTCATACACAAATGAGTAAGAATATTCTCGGACAGTCAAGCGGCGTTGAAAGCTCTTGGCTCCTAGCGAGCAACGTCTAAATTGATAGCAAACTGCCAAAAACGACTCTCCTCGATAGGAAGACTTAACAGATTGTCTCTGGTCTGGATTCCTGGCCATACTGGCCTGAAAGGCAATGCATCTGCGAACTCTCCTGCAAAGGAGGGTGCTGCAAGCGGCTTCATTGGACCAGAACCTGTCATTGACATCGTTTTGGGCTTTGCCAAACAAACACTGAACACCTGCATGGCAAGAAGATTTATGGACTTCTGGCAGAATTTTCCAGCAATGGCTCACTCCAAGGCGTTTATTCACCCTCCGAAGATTGATTCCAAACAGTTGTTGGACTACAGTAGGGATGAACTACGATGTCTAACAGGCCTTCTTACAGGTCACTGTCATTTGAATCATCATATGCAGAGACTTGGACTGTCGGAAGACAATAATAGCTCATTTCTAGTTTTTTGAGCAACCAAATGTATATCTCGAGAACTTTTCATTTCTGATATAGGGCGAATTCCATAATAATTTTCAGGACATGTTTCAACCATCGCACGTTGAAAGGTAAGACCTCGTAAACTCTCAGCTGGCACAAATTTCAACTGAGAGTTTCCGTTTGTAGGGGGCTACAGTTATTTACGAAATAAACAGATTTCAACAGGGAGTTAACAGATTATTTTCCAGAATACGGCTAACCGGCGTTCATCGTGCTGTACCCTGTATATTATGTCAACTAACGTGTTCATTGTAATTTTTTCTCTTCCAACACATTCTATCAATCTTTATTCAACTGTTTTTTGCAATTTCTACGTTTCTACGTTCCAATAGATGGAATTTATCAGACAGATATTCCCCTGTTCAACTTCAAGCGTCTCCAATAGCCAACATTATATCTCAATTCAACTCCAATCTAAGTAGAAAGCAAGTCTGTTTCCAGGAGAAAATTACCAAAACTGTAAACTGCTGTAAAAGGTCGCTACCTTGTGAATTTACGGTTATTGCTGTTAGGAGGAAATCTACAAACTTTAAATGTAGAATGTATGGCAAGTTTTGTGTTTCACTTGGAGAAGTGGTTCTGCGTTGCAGGAAACCATCTCCTGCGGGCTGATTTACGGCAATTTGAAGCTATAAGACGGCGTGCGAATTCGAATTCAGGAAAAGAATTCAACGT